CAGCGAAAAAAAATCCTAGGCGGAAATGGGCGTGGCCTATATGGGAAGTTTCAGCTCCATTCACCGAACGCGTGGATATAAGAGGCTGTTTAAGCAATATTTTCACGATTTTGTCAATTTAAAATCTATGTGATTGAACATGTACACTTTAGTTGTAATCATTATGTGTCTTCAGACGTGCATTGCTGAGATATTAATGTTATAATCCTTTTAGGCTTTAACTACACTCAGTCAGCACATTTCAGGCAGAATATTCATGCATGCCCATAACATCAGGGTTCTTGTGGGAACAAAACAAATATACACATAAACAGACTTACCAGAAAGAGCACAACGCTAACTCCTATGTAGGCAAAGACAATGCACATCCAGATTTCATAGGCTAGTGGGTCCAGAAAGGAGAAGACTCCTGGTTTGGACTTCTGTGGCTTTTTGATCATGATGGAGATTCCCAAAGACATGAAGGGTTTGGAGAAATCTATCACCTCTTCACGAACAAGAGTGATTGTCAGGGGAGCAACTGCTATATCTGCTTTCTGGTGGAGAGACAAAGAAGAAGTGTTTGACAGTGTAATATCTTCATGGACTTGATTCGGCTGTTGGAAAGAGGAGAAATAAACAATATTTTGTATCAAAATCCTGTGTGACGTTAACCCACTGTTTAGAAGGCTCTCCTGGTCAAGCCCAGCAGATAGTTAGTAGATAGTGTAGGGTTGTCAACTCATCTGATTCACATACAAGCTGGCACCCCATCACAGCATCCTCCCACTGATCAAGTACTTTTATTGTTGATTGCTTACCTATTACTAAAAATTATCTACGGAAATTTCATTGAGGTTTCGTTTAATCCACATATCTATACACAGCCATACATCCCAATGTGTTATACACGGATGATTATTACTGTCGCACAACATGCTTTGGAGAGACGTGTGGAGGAGAGACAAGGCAGAGAAAATGACAGACCATTTGTAGTCATATCTAGCTGAAAGAGAACAAAAACTGTACAGCGTGTCTGTTGTAAAACTGAACTAGCCAAACACAAAGGGGCAGCTGTGTCTCAGAGGTAGAGCAGGTCGTCCGCTAATCACAAGGTTGTTGGTTCGATCACAGGCTCCTCCCTGCCGGAAGTCGAAGTATGCGTAAGATACTGAATTCAGTACTGAATACTGAATCGGTGTCTGAATGCGCATGAATGTGTGAGAAAAGGCAAGTAGTGTAAAAGCGCTTCGATAATTGGAAGACTAAACAGGCACTATTCCATTTACCATTTACAATAACTCAACATTAGTGCTTCACTGTAACTGATAAAGGTCTTTTTATCGTAATTTTCACAGTATATACAGCCTTCTACATACATGAAATGAAACTTGTCCTTTGCATTTGACCCATCCTATACACATTAGGAGCAGTGGGCAGCTGTAGGCACCCGGGGAGCAGTTAGGGGTTAGGTGCCTTGCTCAAGGGCACCTAGGCAGTGCACAGGAGGTGAAACTTTCCCAGCTACCAGTCCACACTCCATACTGTGGTCTATGGGAGTTGAACCCTCCGGTTCCCAAAACAAGTCCCTACACAATGAGCTACTACGAGTCATTGTTTATCTACGGATAAAATCAGAAAAGAAAACGTGATCAATAATCTGATCATTCAACACCATGACACAGATATACAGGGCACTGTATAGCCATACACATGTGTGCAAGATCTATAAAATATGTTGGATTTTTCCATGAGTTGTTGAGCATGAGTTGAGTTCATTAATGATCTCCATGCCTACTGCTAACTTCCTCACTCATCTAACCACCAATCCATTCTAACTACCCAACTATTTCATTTATAGGGCGTCCCCTAATCTGAAGGTTGTTGGTTCTGTCCCCGGCTCCTGGTGCCGCATGT